TGGGGGACACAGTGCCCCCAGATGTGACATCCTGGAGGGACACAGCTCACTCACTTGGTGTCGTGGCTCAGCAGTGCAGCCTCAGCCCAAGCATGGGGAGACATCAGATGGAAAAGGAGGAGTGTTCTGTGCAGGGTGGCGTGTACGATGTGCTCATCCCTGATGTCGTGTCCTCCAAGTCAAAGGAAAGCCATACAGCTTGGACGTTGTGAGTTCCCCGGAGCTGGCAGGGAAGCGAAGGGGTCCAGAGCTGTGGTTGGTCTGGGGAGGTATCTAGGGGTGACTAGTTAGACTCAATGTTCTTTTTTCCCCTAAGGTGCTAAGCTTAACTGGACCTTGCCTTTAATAATCAGGTAACAAGCCATCAAAATGCCTAAGAAGTCCCTCCGTCCAGTCACAATAGCGCTTGAGACTCCAGGCGAGAGAATGTCATGACGGTGGTGCTGGAGCTCACCACGGCATCTCTAGAACGCTCACCCTGGTGGAATCTAATTACTATTGGGCTTCGGGGACCAATGCTGTCAAGCACGTCAGAAATTTCTAAAGCTATCACCAACATATTTTTCTTATATGGATCAACTCAGAAAATAACAATGGACCAAAGAGATGAATTCATTCAGCAGATCAGTGTTGAACTTATGGGTTGTTTGGTACAAAAGAGATTGTAATTTCTCATGCCTCTGGAACTGTTACTGCAATGGAAAGTACACCTAGAACAATCAAAGCATTTGTCTCCAAACACACTGCCGACCACCCAGAGAACTGGGATGAACACTTGTCAGCTGTTTCCTTTGCCTTCAACGCAACTCCCTTGGAGCCTCCTAAAAATACACCATATTTTCAAATGTTTAATCAAAGCCCTTATATGCCAAAGCCTTCAGATACTCTTCATGAAGGGGATGCTGATAATACAAGTATGTTTGCCAGAATTCTGCAATTAAAGAGGCTGATAAAATAATGGAGGCAAAGACCAATGGGCCAGATGGAGAACAATTTGATGGAGAACCATTTTACACAAAAGCAAGATCATTGTTAAAAAGAAACCAAAAGCAAGCTGGGCGTGTAATCCCAGCACTCGGGAGGCTGAGGCAGGAGGATCGCTGTGAGTTTGAGACCAGCCTGGGCTACATAGTGAGTTCCACATCAGTCTCAACTATGTAGTAAGATCCGGTCTCAAAAAAAAATGAAAAAGAAACCAAAAGCAGTTAAATCCATTTCATTTAAAAGTGGGTCATGAAATCTTAAGACAAAGGAAAAATCAGTGTAAATATGGTCGTTTCCAGTCCGAATGGATTGGTCCTTGTGTCATAGACTAACTATATTACCGAAAGTGCTGTCCTGAGAGAGAATCCGGGGACTAGGCTTAAAAGACCTATCAAAATGTCCCACCCTAAGCCTTATGTAAGAGAATCCAGCAAACAAAATTGTCTATCTCTTGCAAGGTTCTGTAGTGGCAGGTCATGACTATATCGGACTGCCCGAAATTCCAGTTGGAGCACACCAAGCAAATATCCAGGTAGAATATTCAACTACTGGCGTAGCTGATCATGAGTTACTGACATCAAGCAAGGGGCATGAATTGTCAGACTAGAGAAACCCCAAAACCTCTTCACTGATAGAAGATCATGGTACTCTTGAAAAGCAGACTTGCGGTTGTTGGAATCTTCAGCAAGCTGGGTGTAATCCCAGCACTCGGGAGGCTGAGGCAGGAGGATCGCTGTGAGTTTGAGACCAGCCTGGGCTACATAGTGAGTTCCACATCAGTCTCAACTATGTAGTAAGATCCGGTCTCAAAAAAAAATGAAAAAGAAACCAAAAGCAGTTAAATCCATTTCATTTAAAAGTGGGTCATGAAATCTTAAGACAAAGGAAAAATCAGTGTAAATATGGTCGTTTCCAGTCCGAATGGATTGGTCCTTGTGTCATAGACTAACTATATTACCGAAAGTGCTGTCCTGAGAGAGAATCCGGGGACTAGGCTTAAAAGACCTATCAAAATGTCCCACCCTAAGCCTTATGTAAGAGAATCCAGCAAACAAAATTGTCTATCTCTTGCAAGGTTCTGTAGTGGCAGGTCATGACTATATCGGACTGCCCGAAATTCCAGTTGGAGCACACCAAGCAAATATCCAGGTAGAATATTCAACTACTGGCGTAGCTGATCATGAGTTACTGACATCAAGCAAGGGGCATGAATTGTCAGACTAGAGAAACCCCAAAACCTCTTCACTGATAGAAGATCATGGTACTCTTGAAAAGCAGACTTGCGGTTGTTGGAATCTTCAAACCAAGTTCTTGGATACTTAAGTTAGTAGACACTGAAATTGACTGAAAGTGCTTGCTTAGAATGTTGACACTGTATCCATTAGAATAGGTTGTATAGAACAAGTGTCTTGAAATAGTCTCAAGGACTAGACCCTGAAATTTTGTAACCTTTTATCTAAAGTTATGTCACATTTGCTATCAGTATAGATATGAACAGCAAAAATGCATATGCGTTATATGCTTATTATATGCCTATGATATTCATTTATCAATGTGCGTGTATATATATATGTATATTTGAAAAGAAGCATATAATATGTAGAATTCAGTTCTTTCAAATAGAGAACAGGCAAAGCACCTTTGCTTCTGAGGTAATCAATTCCAGCTTAAAACTCTTAAAAAAGTCAGGGGGAGCCATAGAAATGGTCTACACTGCAGGAGGCTAAAGCAACAGGACAAGGAAAAGTCACTCTGACCCCGGATTGAGGGCTGGATGGAAGGGATAGGGGATTATTAGGCCAGCGGACAACGTGGAGCAGACAGTAGGTAAAACGTGTAGGTAAAACGTGGCACCTGCACTTGGCGTGCTGTGGCTCCGGGCGGCCACGACCTGGGGCTTGGGGCCATTCGCTGTTGACTTGGGACTCCTCCACCTTGGAGGAAGGAGCTAGTTTTACCTCTGAGCTCTCTGTTCTCTTGGCACAAAGAGCCATAGATTGCTACGGGGATCTGATGGAACGGTCGGGCGCTTGGGACTAGGCAGGCTCCTGGGCCTCAGGGATCCCAGAAAACTTGGTTAAGAATCCTGGGGCCAGGCTGGGGATTTAGCTCAGCAGTTCCACCACCTGCCTTGCAAGCGCAAGGACCTGAGTTCTATCCCCAGTACCTCCCCCCACCAAAAAAAAAAGAATCCTGGGGCCAATGGTGCCCGCGGTTCAGCACATTCTACAGTTCTGATGTGGGGGGTGAACCATACTCTGTCTCCTCAGGCAGTGAAAGGCTCGTAGTTGAGCTTCTTCTGGTCTACTTTAATGAACATATGTTTTGCCATATATGATATTCTGCATAGTCCAAGCCTGTGACTCCTTATTACTGTGCGATGAAATACATCTTTGATGATATAAAAAAGAGTTTTGAGAGCAGAGGGCCAAGGCACCTTATCCTCAAGCGGTTTAGTGGAACGCTCTATGGGTACAAAATCAAAATATTGATAGGAAGGAGCACAGAGCAAATTGGAAAATGTGTTAAAAAAAAAGAAGGGGGCGTGTTCGGATGTTTTATCACTATATAAGGTTCTTGCAACTCTTGTTAATTTGACATGTTTTCCAAATGAAATGATGCAAATCCGATTGGTTCTCAGCACCCAGTAATCATTCAGAAGGCGCACAGCATGAAGAAAAGAAGGGGGTGCCGGTGCTGTGCCTCAGTGAGGCCGTGGGAACACGGGGGCAGAGGGCAGGAAAAGACTGCAATGAACTTCCATCCGCACTTGAACCACTTCACGTTTTGTCAAAGGAGCATCTCTGTGGACAGGAAAGGGCTCAGTGTGGCACCCTCCATATTTGTTTCCGCTCCCATTGGTAGTGTAAATCACTCCCAGAATCCCACAGGGCCCACACCAGGAAGGACTTGCAGCCTCTCTATGGTGAAGTGAGTCAGGAGATCCGAGGAGTCATCCGTGTCCACCATCACAGAAAGTGCCAGGGACACCCCAAGACAACCCTACTTCCTCTGTCAGGAAAGCCCAGTGGAGTGTGTTTTAAGCTCAGTTTGAATATTTTCTTCCAGGGCTTGGGCTTTTCTCAGACAAGCCTAAGAACAGCAGCAGGATACACCAGAAAGCTGCAGGGAGCAGGACACTGGGCTTCCAGCCTGTGGGGAGGAAGAAACTGCCAGCCACCTGCCTGGTACTCCCACCCCATCCAACCACAAGGAGGAGAGGCTGCTCAGCAAGGAGAGACCGAGGCAATTGAGACCTGTCCTCTGGGACATTACCCAGGAGGAAAATTAGAGCGTTTAATTAAGCCCCACATGCCAGCAATCAATTCCAATTTTCTACCTCTAGTTTAGAGAGTTTCAGCCAGGCGTGTCTGGGACTCTGGAGTCTTATCATGTTGATGACGGAGTTGATTTTAAACTTTCTGTTTAGCCTTGGCAGGCCTTTGTGGAGCTGCCTGCCTGGAAGCTGGTTCCAGCAGTGAGCAGAGTGGTAGTTAGGAAAGATTGCACCAGGCACTCAGCTGGAACAAAGTCCTCAGTCCCTGCTGAGGAGCAAGCGGGTGTGGGGAGGTCCCAGGGCTTCTGGTGGCCATGGAAGATTCCCCTCTGCTTCCCATGGGGAGGAGGGGTGAGCATTTTTCCTCAGGTCTCAGGGCTCTGGACAGGCACTCACTGGAGGGGAGAGGGCATCTAGAAAATTTCAGATTCTTCTAAAACACCATGGGTTTGCCGTGTTGTGCCCTGGGACGGACAGCTGTCTGCCTGGCTGCACTGCCGTATCCCCCTGACAGGGCCGGAGGGAAACCCAGTCAGAAAACCACACAACCAGCCAAATCCACGGGCATCAGAGAAGGGACAAGGACTACCAGAGTCACAGAGGGAATGAAAATCAGGAGGTCCTAGGAGGCACCCAAACTGTCCAACTCCCAGGGAGAGAGGAATAGTTTGCCTAAGAGTAGTTATTTTTTTAAAAAAATTAAGCCAGAGAGGTCTCACATACCTGTAATCTCAGCTAGCGGGGGGCGGCTGAGGCAGGAGAATTGCAAGTTTGAGCCCCCAGTTTGGGCAACTTAGTGAGATCTCATCTCACTGAGTCCCTGCAAGGGCAATGCAGAGCCCTACCAGAGTTGGGGAGCTGGAGAGCAACCCACCAAGAGTACAGCTGCCCTCGAAGAGTACCGGCCAGTGGCACCTCGGGTATGTTGTGTGTCACGGGGGGCAGGAGGTGGCAGGCTTGACTTGGCAGGAACTGGAAAGAGGCCACTTCCGCCTTCTTGATTTACTGCACCCTGAGCTTACAGATGGCAGACTTGTTAGGAAATAGCACTGGGGGTGGTGAGTGCAGAGCACACTCCTCGCATGGAGCCAGGAAAGCGGGTCAGAGGGGAAGAATGGGATTCTGCAGGTGACATCCTGACTGTCCAGGGGACCAGTTCTGTGGGCACAGGGAACCCAGTATGAGACATCACAGCCTCTGCAAGGAGGAAAAATCAGAGACAGGGGACTGAGCCTGCCCAGCTAGGTGGGTTGTGCTGAGCACACAGCAGGGAGCCAGGACACGGCAAGAGGTCCGGACAAGGTCACAGGACTTCAAGGCCAGGAGGACCCAAGGTCACACAGATGGCACCTTTGGCCTTGCAGTGGCTGCATTGGGAGAACTCTGGAGGTCTGCAGAGAGGAGCTTGCTTCCGGCAAGGGGCGACAGATTGGAACCGCGTGCTGCACTCATGCACGCACACCAGGCCTCTGAGCTACATTTAGGGGATGCGCAGGGCAGGGTCCTCCCCGGGGACGGGGTCGTCCACGTCGGCCAGGAGCTCTCGCTCGCTGGCGCTGGCTGCATGGGTGCTCTGCAGGCGGCGGAGGCGGGGCCGGGGGCGCTCCTGCTCCCTCTTGAGCTCCAGGTAGGAGTGGGAGAAGGTGTGGAAGATGGAGGTGGCCGGGAAGGCCATGATGAGGATCCCGCTGAGGATGCTGCTCAGCGCCACCACCTGGCCCGGCACGCTGCGGGGCACCATGTCCCCATAGCCCACCGTCGTCATGGAGATGATGGCCCACCAATAGGAGGCAGGGATGCTGGTGAACTCCAGGACCCGCCCAGACTCATTCTCAGCCAGGTAGACCAACGGGGAGAAGAGGGTGACAGCCACGGCCAGGAAGAGCAGCAGCAGGCCGAACTCACGGGCGCAGCGCCGCACCGTGAGCCCCAGCGTCTGCAGCCCCAGCGAGTGTCGGGCCAGGCGCATGACGTAGAGGATGCGCAGCGCCCGCAGCACACGCAGCACCAGCCCCACCTTCTCCAGGTAGGAGCTGCCGCTCGGCCTCTCGCTGTTGTCTGGGGGCTCCTCAGATACCGCCAGCGACACATAATACGGGGAAATGGCCAGGATGTCGATGATGTTGAGGGGTCCTTGGAAGAAGCGGCACTTGTTCCGGGCCTGCACGAACTGCAGGCAGAACTCCAGGGAGAACCAGGCCACGCAGATGGTCTCCACCACGAAGATGTAGTAGCATTTCTGAGAGCATTCACCCTGGGGAGGAGGGCAACAGAAGGCGGTGGGGCTGGCTGCCCTGGCGGGGGAGACGCCTTCCGGGGAGAGGCCTTCACAGGCCGTGCAGGTCCCAGCTCTGTGCACAGACTAAAGTCTCCTCCCAACCACCTTTTGCATGCTTTTCAGGTTGTGGCTGGCTCATGGCGGGCCAGCTGGGTCGGACACTACCCTTTCCAGCCAAGAGTGGCCAAAGTTGTGACCAAGTTGTCACCTACAGAGAGCCACCTCTGTGCTGGGGGTGTCAGGCGTTGGTGTGAGTTCCTGCACCCAACCAGCACAGCCCAGATGGGGTTGCAACCAACCCCGGCAGGCAGACGGGACCCCAGGGAGATGGAACATGTGGGTGGGACATCAGGGTCTCTCACGGGGACAGGTGCCCTCTTGCCTGGGTCCCTCCCCCGGGGAGTGTTACACAGGACAGAAATCAGCACCCACTGTGTTGGGAGCCAGGCTATCCTGGTCTCCCTGTTACAGAGAAACCTCTGCCACCACGGATACAGGCATCTCTGGGGGCCACCACTGCTCTGCTGCTGTCCCTTCAGCCACACGGCAGTGCTGTGAGCAGGTGGCATGGCTGCATGATGGACCTTGAGAGCTTGTTTGGAGGTTCTGGGGCTGGAACGCAGCTACCCGTATACCCTTAACTGAGGAAATGGTCCTCCTCCATCGGGGATGCTCGTCCTCTCCAACTGAGCTTGCAGCTTCAGGAGGGACGCACAAGGAGTGGTGAGAGAGGAAGGGACACCCGCCTAGCCAGCCAGATCAGCCGAATCAACCCTGGCGATCAGTGAGTTGACAGATGTCACAGCCAGATGGCCTTCACATCCGGCATGGCCTCATTACAGGCCCAGAAAATGGTCACAGCAGCTCATTGACTTGCCTGAACTCACATAGCTAGTAGGTTGCGGCATCGAGCCTCATCTGGGGCCCTTAGTTGCTACAGGCTGTTCGGTAACTTCTCCGTGTGCCACCCCTAGTCCCGCTGGGGGCCATCTTGTGCCATGCTGGGGGCCCAGTCAGTGGAGAAGCGGCATGATTCTGGGGGCTGGGAGGCTGGGCTGAGCAGCTGTCCTGGCCCTGTGACCCGTGGCTGCGACCCTCCATCCAGGATGCTCATGGTTGTGCCACTTGGCTCCCTGGGCCTGACTCCTCAGTGTGGGCCTAGAGCCCAAAACACCTGCCTCCCTGAGAAGCTCGGTAGGAACACCCAGCCTCATCACCTGCGTTTTAACAAGATTCCCTGGAGCATGTTAAAGTTGGATTTTTTGCTGGAGTTTTTTGGATTGTTTGGGTTCTGGGTTTTTGTTTGTTTGTTTCTTTCTTTCTTTCTTTTGAGACAGAGTCTCGCTATGTAATTCAGAATGGCTTTGAACTCACTATGTAGCCCAGGTTGGCCTTGAACTCAGAATGATCCTCCTGCCTCAGCCTCCCGAGTGCCACCATACTTGGCGCATTCAGGTTTGAGAAACTGCTCCAGTGCCTTGTTCTCAGTCTCAGGTGCCCATAAACGTCTCCTGGGGGCTTGGAGAATTCCTGATGCCCAAGACACCCCCACCCGAGACTCTAATTTAATTGATCTAGGTTTTAGCTCAAATAGTAGAATTTTCCAGAACCCCTGCTGATGATTCTATGGGGAGCCAGGATTGAGAATCTGGTTATAAATATCATATATGCATATGGATGCACACACACACACACACACACACACACACACACGTACGCACGCACACTCACTTGATGGATGATTGAGGGAGTAACCGAAGCCAGCTGCCTATGTGAAAAGCAAGGTGTTGACAACTGTAATTTTTTTGGATTAAAATGCTTTAAAGTGGAAAAAGAAATTATTTCCAGCGCCTGGGCCCAGAGAAATCCTAAATCGAAATGTTCTCTGTGTCTGGCTGCTAGGGAAAAAGAAAGGGGCTGCTGTCTTTCTGGGTCAGCACCTCTCTCCCTTGCCTCCTGCCTGGAGCCAGTGCTGTTGAGAAATGGAGCCCTAAGTGCTTGTGGGCCGGGTTCAAATGCTAACTCTTTTTTTTCAATACTAGAGATTGAACCCAGGACCTTCATACTGAGCTACACTTCCACCCCTTAAAAAAAATTTTTTTTTTTAAATTTTGAGATTTAATTGCTAAATTACTTAGGTTGGTCTCCACCTTACCTCAGCCCGGGAAAGCGCTGGGATGACAACACTACGGCACTATGTTTGGCTTCAAATTCCAACCCTAGTCAGTCTCTGCCTGGAAAGGCTGTTGTGAGGAGTGCAGATGATGCTACCAACAGCTATTAGGGTGCTGCCCACTTGGTACCCTGGCCTCAGACAGCGCCTGCCTGGTCAGTATGAGGACGCCATACCCCGTTCTCTTGCTGAATTTTACAGGACACCAAGCACCTTCTCTGACTCACTAGCAGGCTTTGTCCCGCCTGTTTGAGGTCTGCTGGAGAACTCAGGAGTTTTGGATCCCGATTTCCTAGTAGTGCTCCAGACTTGCTGTGTGACCTCGAAGTGATCCCTACACCTCCCCTTCCCTGTGCTTTGCTTTCCCATGAAGAGGCTGAAACACCATCAGGATTTCTCAAAGCTGCTTCAGAATTCCCCTGGCACAAGAATCCCCAAGGGTACTGGTCACAAATGCAGATTCTCCGGCCCCATCGCCAAGTCAAACTCTGGAGCAGGGTCCAAGACTGCGCATTTTGGCAACTCCCTGTGGACTCAGGACAGCTGGGAGTTCTAAACCTGGCACAGACTCTGCACCAGGCCCCCTCCTTCACTGACATCTGGGAATTTGCCCCTTGGCAGCCTGGGAATAGCAGGAGGGCGACTCCCAGAGCCCAGAAGACCCGGCTGTCCCAGGTTGCCCGCGGGGCTGTCACTTGGCTATTCAAACCACGCACATCTCTCCATCCTCCCAGCCTGGCCGGCTCCTCCCACACTGCAGCAAGAGGCTGTGCCGAGTCATGGTGCCGCACCTGGCTCTGCTCGGCATCCCTAACCAACCCAGCACAGGCACCAGTCAGAAGGGTTGGAGCCTCTGCAGCGCCCTGGGACAAAGGCGTTTATGGCTCCAATTGGAGCATAATCCTCAGCCCAGCAGATATTTGCAGGAGAAAAGAGAGGAGAAGAAAGGAAAGACCAGTTTCTCTAGTCTCTCTGAGGAAGTTTCTCGTTGGTTGTATTTTGTAGGGAGGGGAACAACTCGCCATGATTTGCTCCATCTTCCTGGGTTTGCACGCAGAAACTTCGGGTCCTGGGAACCCTCTCCGTCCGAGGCAAATGGGGCTGTGTGGCGTCCTTGCTTGTGGGCCCCGTCCCCACTCACAGGATGCTCGGAATGGCTGTCAGGATGGCACTGCCGCCAAGCACAGTGGATTGATGGGAAAGGCCCCACGGGCATGTTCCGGGCAAGGCTTGCACTTGTGTAGCTGTTGCTAAAAGACACAGTTAAAACATGTGCTTTTCAGCCACATGCGGTGGTGCACACGTCCCAGCACTCTAGGAGGGCAAGGCAGGAGGATCACACGTTTGAGCCCAGCCTGGGAAACTCAGTGATACTCTTTCTCAAAACAAACAAACAAACAAAAAACATATTGGGTATGTGGGGGGGGTATATTTAGCTCTGTGATGCTGCTGCCTGCCTTGCAAACATAAGTTCCTGAGTTCGATCCCCGGTAGCAAAAAAAGAAAAAAATTATAAAAAGGAGTGTGGATGTAGCTCCGTGTGAAGGCCCTGGGTTCAATCACCAGTACTGCCAAGAAAAAAAAAAAGATTTGTGCATTTCATTGTATGCATGTTACTGTATACAAAACTGCAAGATAAAAATGATAGCCAGGTGTGATGGTGCACGCCTATAATCCCAGCAGTTGGGAGGCTGAGGCAGGAGGATCGTTGTAAATCTGAAGCCAGCATGGGCTATGTAGTTGAAACCCTATCTCAAAAAACAAACAAAAAAAACCCCAAAATAATAATGATAATAAAACGTGATTTGGGGTGGAGGAAAGAAATCAAAATGGTAGATGGGTGGTTCCTGGTTTATTGTAGTATTCTGTTTATTTTGTAAATGTCTTGAATTCTATAATGAAAAGTTTTAAAATGACGACTTTTTAAAATTTCAAACCAGAGTGAGATACCACTTTACGCCTACTAGGACGGCTAGACTCAAGGAGACAGGTGACAGGTAAGGATGGCGGCACACTCCGGTGATTTCTAGCACACAGGAGGATTGCTGCAAGTTCGAGCCCAACTTAGTGAGTTTAAAGCCAGCCTGCACTACATAGTTAGACCCTGTCTCAAACAAACAAAACAAAACGAGACACTCTACAGCAAGTGTTGGTGGGCTTGTGGAGGAACTGAAACCCTCAGATTCCGCGGGTGGGAGCCAGATGGTAAGGGTGCGGCTGCCTGGAAAAGCAGTAGTTTAGCAGCTCCAAGGCCAGGAGGCAGGGCAGGACCCAGCAAGACACAGAAGCACACAGGCACACGCGTTCTCACGATGCACAGATGCTTCTCGGCTGTACAGGGAAAGAGGTTATGACCTGCTCTGCAACCTGGAGAGGGACAGAAGAGGGAAGGTGCAGGCTGGAGAGTGAGAGTTTTCTAGACAGAGCAGGCAGTGGTGGGCAGGTGGAAACCGCAGTGGGGAGGCGGCCAAATCAGAACGGCAGAGGAGGGCAGGGCTCTGGAACCGGGAGTCCCACCTGGCCTTTAGAACTCTCCTGTAGCCAGGGGTGGTGGTGCCGATAGAGAACACTTTAATAGCAAAAAACCCCTATGAAATGTCACAATGTAAAATAACTTCTGCCCTTGGCTTTGTTTAGTTCAGAGTCAACCGTCACCTGAGGCATCTAGTCTCACTAAAAAGTTGTATGAATGAAAAGAACCACCGTTAACTTTGCTGACCAGACACGCCCCCTTCCCCTGGGCTAGAAGAGGTAGCTGAATGAATTTTAAAGGTGACCTCCCCTGCCAAAGAAGTGCTACATCTGGGTTGAAATTCACCTGTCTCTCACCCACCATGTTTTGAATATCAGCAGTGTGAACTGTGAAAATGAAATGTAACCACCTGAATGAGATCAAGGCTGCAAAACCCTATAAAAGAGGGAGTCGCAGCCCAGTACTGGGTCAGTCAGGGCACTACCATTAGGTGTGATCGATCCCCATCGATGGAGTAAACTTTTGTTATTTTACTTCCTTTCTGCTGCCTCTCTGTGTTTCACTTGCCAGTTCCTTCTGTAACGGTGCACACCTGTCATCCAGCAGCCAGGAGGATGAGGCCGGAAGACTAAGAGTGTGGCCTGGGCTACACAGCAAAATCTTGTCTCAAAAATGCAAAACAATATAACAAAAAATTCCCTGTCTCTTCCTTCCTCCACCCCACCTTAGCGAGGAGCCGGAATATCCCAGCACAGGCTGTGGAGGAAGTGTGAGGTGTGATCCACCGGGTCCTGCAGGCCCCAAGCCTGGTTCTGCGACGGCCATTAGAGGGACCCTAAGGAAACCCAGAGCTCCGGCTCCTGTGCCTCTCGGGTGCTCAGACACTTGGCAGCAGGCTCTTCCTGCCTCCATTTTAATTTGCGATCTGGGCACAGACTTTTCTCCCTCCCGATGGCCAGCTTCACTGCTGGGGATGCTGCTGGGGAAACTAGGAGAGGTGGACAGGAAGCTGCGTCCTTGGGGGTTCTCCCCTCCGGCAGATGTCACTCCCCTCCATCTCAGGGGGAGCTCTGTGGGTCATGTCCCCAGAGTGTGCCATTAACTTCCAGGGGGACCCAGGAGCAGCTGGCCCGCGAAGCAGCTGGCTCATAAAATAGGGCTGTTCAAGCCTGATGTCTCTGGGGGCAAATATGAAACGCAAGGCACGAGTTGCAGAAGGGACAGCAGCTTTTTATGTAAATATAAGGCTCAGATTTGAAAGAACAAAAATCCTCAGCCTCCCTGCATCTCTGAATTATTATCCGAGCAGCAAATACAGACCTTCTTGGCCTGCACCTCCCAGTGGCATGTGCAAAGGTGGCGTACTGCAGGGACACAGAAAGGCACCGCAGCTGGATATGAGCACAAATCTCTCCTGTCCCCTGAGGATGGGTCTGCCTGACTGCTCTTCTCTGACTTTGGGCTGTGACCTCTAATTTGATTTCCCAAGTCCTGATAAGCTAGGCTGGGTCTGTAACCTCAGTCATGTTTTTGAAACACTGGGCTTCTGCACAGTTTAGATTGGGTCTTCCTCACTGTTTCTCCTTTCCCTGTGGAGTTTTGACGGGAACAGGCTTGGGACCACCCAGACTCTGTCTATAGCTGAGGAACAGGGTAAGGAGATGGCTTATCCAGTCCTAGTCTTTTGACTACAGAGTCCACGTGTAAACAAACATCTCTGCAGGCAAGCGATCTTCTAAATCGCATGCTTTTGGGCAAAAGAATGGAAAAATGCTCCAATCAGAACTATCATGCAGGTGGGATGGGGGTGCCGTTTGAAAGTCCAAGTATTTTGGTTGTCCTTTTTAGGACAGGTCTTTGTTAGCAATTGACACAAAGTAGCTGCTCAGTTAACACAGAGCAGCCCACTTCACTGTGTGAACCTTCGAGGGGACAGTGTCCATTCTACCAACGAAGAAACAGGCTCAGAGAGGTGAAGTGAGTCGCAGAGCCTGGCGAGGCGAGGCTGAGGCTGCCTGGCCCACTGAGACCAGGTGTGACTTTGTCAACAGCCAGGGTCTCTTAACAGAGCCAGGGACACGCAATGACTTTGGAGGGCCCAGGCACTTTGGCTTTTGAGAGCCCCCTCCTTGACAAGAAGAAAAGGAAAAGTATCTTTTCGGACCACGCTGGTCTAAACATGAACGCTATACACATGGAATGCTATTCAGTGTTTCCTGACCCTTTTAAGAAATAAACACCTTTGCATGGAGCCCTGGGGGGATCGCGGTGCGCACCCCACACTCACCTTGTCCTCCTCGGCCCGGAGGTCAGGCATGGTGCTCACGCACAGACTGACAGCCGTGGTGGCCACGAAGAGGATGGACAGACAGGCGAAGACCTTCCCGGGCAGCCCCGACTGCGGGTCGTCCACCATCTGGCGCAGCCGGTGCATGCAGCGCTTTGCATGGAGCCCTGGGGGGATCGCGGTGCGCACCCCACACTCACCTTGTCCTCCTCGGCCCGGAGGTCAGGCATGGTGCTCACGCACAGACTGACAGCCGTGGTGGCCACGAAGAGGATGGACAGACAGGCGAAGACCTTCCCGGGCAGCCCCGACTGCGGGTCGTCCACCATCTGGCGCAGCCGGTGCATGCAGCGCGATCCAGCTGCGCCTCCTCGATGCCCCAGTAGGCCAGCTCCTCGCGGAAAGACAGCGCGCACATCTCCCGAAGCAGCACCAGCTTCCCGGCCGCCAGGAAGCTCACGATCACCCCGAAGGCGCTGGGGCTGCGGTCGAAGAAGAATTCCTGGCGGTCGGCATCGTAGTCGTCGCAGAGCTGCGCGATCTCCTCGCCGCTGCGGCACAGGCGGAGCCTGCCCAGGCGGCTCAGCGGGAAGGCG